TGTTTAGAATAAACCATTTGGAATTAGAATACAATATTTCTGAATTATATTGCAATTTATGTCACAATGTGGTGGTACAATATAAATTTGGATTAATTTTTCAACAGATGAGGCTGATCAAGTAAAGGATATCAGTGGGACATCTTGTCCAAAAGGCTTGGAAGCTTCTGATAATTACATAAGATTAAGTGACTCAAGATATTGGACTGAAGCTGCTTGATGGTAAGATGATGTTGCCAAAACATCTTTTTGAATATAATTTTTTAAATATCAAGAGTATGAAATGTAACAGTGAATGCATGTAAGTATGAATCTCTGTATGTACTGGCCTCATAGTGAGCGTTCTTGTGGCTTCTCAGCAACAGCAAGTGTGATTTCCATTTTTAGCCACAGACAGGTCTGTGTGTCGCAGCTGAGGCTCTACAGTAACTGTGTGTGTATGTGAGTGGGTAAAGCACACATGCTCACTCTCCATCTTTCTTTCTCTCCGCCCCCACACTTCAGTGCAAAAATGGCAGAGCTCAGCTACAGGCATCCAGATGCAACCGTCATCTTCCTCATCATCATGATCATCAACTGCAAGACCCGCATGCATCCTAATACTACCGAAATCTGTCCTTTGACAGTGGTGATGATAAAGCTCCTGTTGAAGGCAAAACTGGTGCATTAAAAGAGAGTTTCCTCTATAGAAGACATTTCAATGAATTTACAAGCAACACACAATCAAAATCTTTTTTTCATGCAAGAATGTTACCATGACAACACAACAGTTAAAAGGCAGGGTCATTTAAAGCAAACCAGATAAAATGAAGCCAATGTTCAAGTGGCATACAGGTGACTTTCCTCTGGTATCGAAGTAGAAGATATTTTCAACTGGAACTTTGCAGCAGGAGCTGATAAAATAGATATTTGCAGAGAATATAGAAATAGTTCAAAATCTGCTAATCAAACCTATGCACGTGTACAGTAGTTTTGTCAAACAAGTGATGGCCTCCTAACCCAACCAAGATAGGTTTGGGTGGAGGGGGATTTGATGGACAAGCCAAATGCTAGTTATATTCTGGATAAACAAGGAGGGCTGTGTGTCACGCTGTGTCAAGAACCTATTTTCAGGAGTTTGGGCATCTAGGAAGGTACTGTGTCATCCAAACATATTTGCACACCTTTAAATTTGTCACCTTATCTCATGTTATATATATATATATAT